GTTGCTTACTGCAAACAACTACCGTAATATGGTCAACATTCCTATATTAATGAATGGCAATCCTCTTACTGAGTCGTCCTCTTTACATCCTCTTGGATTATCGCTTACTACTGACCTTTCATGGAGACCATATATACAATAGATTGCTAAATTAGCTTCTGCTAAGAATGCTTCTCTTTATCGTGCTCGCCATTTCCTTACTTCTGATTCCATTCTCTACCTCTACAAATCTCTTATTCGTCCCTGTATGGAATACTGTTGTCATATTTGGGCTGGTTCTTCTAACGATTCACTTTCTCTTCTTGACAAGATCCAAAAACGCATCGTAATTGGAGCCCTTTGTTACGGCTTAGGGTTTATTAGTGGAAATGAGGCGATTGCTTGAGCTATAAAACAGTGTACTGAGTACTATCTATGTTTCGAGTCAAGTTCTTTAACAAAATGAATAAAGTAACAAAAACTATAAAAAACAAAAAACCACAGTCATCACCAAGTTCGCTAAACCTATCATTTACCAATATTCGTGGTCTTCAAAGTAACTTTTCTTCTGTTGAGTCTTATCTCTTGCAAAGTTCACTAGACCTACTAGCTCTTTGTGAGACTAATTTGAGTTCGGCTGTCTTATCTTGTGATCTTAGTGTTGATGGTTATCTTCCTTTAATTCGTAAAGACTCCAATAGTCACATTCTTGGCCTGGGCATTTACATTCGTAAGAATTCAGCCATTTGTCGGGAAACTAGGTTTGAATCCACAGATTACTCTTTTATGTACTTTCGTTTAGCACCACTTCACTCTTTGTTCACCTTTCTCTTTGTTCTATATCCCTCTCCCTTATCTCAAGACTGCACTCTTCTTGATGTTATTTCTAATAATTTTGACCAAGCCCTCATTCTTTATCCATCAGCCAATATTGTTGTTGTCGGTGACTTTAATGTTCATCACACTGAATGGCTTGGCTCTGTGTCAGTGACTCTGCAGGCATTAAGGCCCACAACTTTTGCCTTTCTCAATCCCTAACTTAAATAGTCAACTTTCCAACTCGCTTTCCAGACAACCTAAATCATTTACCTTTTCTACTCGACTTATGTCTTGTTTCTGATCCTAGTCAGTGCTCAGTTTCTTCACACTCACCCTTAGGTGCTTCTTCTCATTCTTCTTTACCATCAGAATCCCCCTATCATCGTACATCTTACAACTACCTTAAAACTGACTGGGTCTCTTTCCGTGATTTTCTTTGTGATGGACCCTGGGTAGAAATCTTTTGTCTCCCTGTTGACAAATGTGCTTCTTACATAACTTTGTGGATTCAGGCTGGCATGGAATCCTTTATTCCCTCTCGACGATTCCAGGTCAAGCCTAACTCTTCTCCATGGTTTTCCTCACATTGTGCTGCTGCAATTGCCAATCGAAACCATTACTTCCATATCTATCAACAAAACAATTCTCCAGAAAACAGATGCCTGTTTATTACTGCTAGGAACCATTGTAAAAAGGTTTTGTCTAATGCCAAAGCCCGCTATTCTCAGATCATGAAATCTCGTATTTCATCAAAAAAATTAGGCTCTCGTGACTTCTGGAGAATCTTTAATAGTATCAATAATAAGGGCAAGTCTGTAATTCCACCTCTTTTGTATGGTTCAGACTTTGTCACCTCACCTAAAGACAAAGCTGAATTGTTTGCCAAGAACTTTTCATCAATATCATCTCTTGATGCCACTAGTTGCGTTCTACCTGATATAGCCGTCAAACAGGTTGATCCATTGCTCGACATTCGTATCAGCTTCTGTATCTAAAGTGATTTCCTGCTTAGACTCTTCTACAGCTTGCAGCCCGGACAACATACCTGTTAGAGTCTTGCAGAAGTGTTCTCTGGAGCTGTCGTCTATCCTTTCAAAACTATTTAACAAGTGCTTATCAGAGTCTTGTTTTCCAGCCAGCTGGAAAGCAGCATCTGTTATCTCTATTTTTTAAAATTCTGGAGAGCGATCGGATTCGTCTAACTACCGTCCCATTAGTCTTCTTCCTATCATAAGCAAGGTTTTTGAATCTTTAATTAATAAACACTAAATCTCTCATCTCGAATCTCATAACCTACTTTCTGATCATCAATATGGATTTCGATCTTCTTGTTCTACGGCTGATTTGCTATCAGTAATAACAGATAGGTTTTATCGCGCATTAGATAAAGGTGGAGAGGATAAGGCCATTGCTCTTGACATTTCTAAAACGTTTGATAAAGTTTGGCATGCTGGTCTTCTCAATAAGCTTTCTTCTTACGGTGTATCTGGAAAATTCTTTAAGATTATTAAATCCTTTCTTTCCAATTGTAGTATAAAAGTTGTCCTTGATGGACAGCACTCTTCTTCTTATCCTGTAACCTCAGGGGTTCCCCAAGGTTCAATCCTTGGCCCTATACTCTTTTTAATTTACATTAACGATCTTCCAGACATTCTCACATCTAAGGTTGCATTGTTCGCTGATGATACTACCATTTATTCTTATCACGATAAGAAGCCAACTCCCTCTGATTGCTTGCAGGGGGCATCTGAGCTTGAAAAGGATCTCACTTCTGCTACAGCATGGGGCTCACAGTGGCTGGTGAACTATAATTCAGATAAAACTCATTTTTTTTCAGCCAATCGTTATCGCAATAGTTTAGACCTTCCTATATTTATGAACGGTTATGTACTCGATGAGTCTCCTACCCTTCATCTTCTAGGACTAACTCTTACTTCTGATCTTTCTTGGAAACCTTATATCAAATCCATTGCAAGACTAGCATCTGCTAAAGTTGCTTCTCTTTATCGAGCTCGTCACTTTCTTACTTTGGATTCTATTCTCTATCTCTATAAATCTCAAATCCGGCCTTGTATGGAATACTGTTGCCATATCTGGGGTAGATCTTCTAATGATGCCCTTTCTCTTTTAGACAAGGTGCAAAAACGCATTGTAAACATAGTTGGACCTGCTCTTGCAGCCAACCTTCAACCTCTGTCACATCGTCGTAATGTTGCTTCTCTTTCTCTTTTCTACAAATACTATAATGGGCACTGCTCTAAAGAGCTAGCGTCTCTTGTGCCATCTACTAAAATTCATTCTCGTGTTACTCGTCATTCAATTAAGTCTCATCGTTTTTCTGTTACTGTTCCTAAGTGCTCCAAAAACTCTTATTCGTCTAGTTTTTTTCCTCGAACATCAGTTCTTTGGAATTCGCTTCCTTCATCTTGCTTTCCTGAGTCATATAATTTGCAATCGTTTAAGTTGTCTGTCAATCGTTATCTTGCTCTACAATCTTCATCTTTTCTCTTCCAGTAACTTTCAACATTAATTAGTGGTTGCTTGCAGCAATATTCATAATTAAGTATAAAAATAATAATAAAAATATTTTATTACACGTCATTCACA